TATATACTTTCGTTCATTCTGGGTACAAAGGTCAATGTTTTCTAGACTAGATTGCGAAAAACAAATACTATGTATAGATGAAAGACGGCCAATCGGACTGGTGTTGATATAAACGGATAAATATAGGCATTGTCATAGTAGAAATCGTTATGAGCAGTGTACTGGAAGGATTCGTATKKGTGGAGAAAAAACAGTTTCATCTAAAGCAGTATTYTGCAATGTAAATATTTCTGCATCAAAAGCTTGAAAGTTGATACAGATGGAGTGACGTCTATTAGATAAGCGTGCAAACCAGCTGCGTGACATTTGATTGCTCTTCATTTTCCTAGTGTGTGCCTTGACGTTATAAATTACATCTGTAGTTAAGTGAGAGGAGTTGGGGTCATATAMCCGTTCCAACCTCCCTTCCCTATCCCCCCATGCATGTAAACGGTTCATCATACTTCATTGCATCTGCAGCATGGAGATCTCAATTTCGCTTCGTTCTGCATCGTGCATAACAGGAATTCTCTTTGGGATATTTCTTACCTTTAAACTAGTTCGTTCAAAGAAGAAAGGAACCAGGAAAGTTCCTCGAGGAACAGTTATCCTGCATCAGTTCAAACGATCTTATCTTGGCGTTCCTAACCTGTCACCGCCATGTATAAAGTTAGAAACCTACCTTCGTATGGCAAAGATTCCTTACGAGTGCGACTACGGTCCAAAAAAATCAAGCAAAGGCAAGATGCCTTGGATAGAATACAATRGCCAAGAGATTGCAGACTCAAACTTCTGTATTGAATTTCTTATCAAGGAAAATGGTCCTGGTTTTGGAGTCGATGTTGATAGCCACCTGACCGACGAACAGAAAGCCATTGCAAGAGCTGTACTAGTCATGTTAGAAGAAAATACTTTCTGGTGAGAATAATGCGGAACACATAGACGGAACACATAGGCGGAACCAGGGAGTGACCAGGGGGTAGCAGAAGAGAGGGGGGGATGGGTTGTTGCTCATGATTTATTTATATATGTTTCAAAGAGGAAGATCAATTTCAAGTTTTTATCACGACAAACGATAAAATTCGGATAATAAAATATATCTATGAAAGTTTTAAGATTTATTAGAGAATTTTAGATTTAGTATACGTTTACTGCAAACGCCAAACGTTAAATTGGCTTTTATGTTTTGTCTCGTCCAAATTAATTGAAAAAAAGGGGGAAAAAAGCTTTGAAAGGAATAGTGATGCGCTTATGGACGAAAAATTTTATACACCATCGCGAAAGAACGGAATGTTGATACAGAAAAACAGTGATCACATGATCAGTTTTGACGTTTGACGTTTGCCGTAAACGCATATCTAAAACTCTCTATTGGCAAAAAGAAACAAATAATTCACAATTATAAAAGAACTGAATGGAACACAAGAAATAATATCGTAGTGCAGTTCGTGCTAGGAAAGTCTTTGAAAACTCTGGTCACAGTATAATNACTCCCGTTGCTCCGCAGGCAAAGTTGATTTTGACGCAACTGAAGAATCTTGAAGGTCATTCAAATCGTATGAAAGAGGCTTATTACCCTGACTGGGATGAAGTTGCCTTGGGGGAAAAGTATGAATCTTAATTCTAGGAGTGCATCTTGATTTTTGAAACTATATTACTTAATAATATCTTCTTTTATCAGATACTAGATGTTATCACAAAGCTCATAGATCGCGGGCTCACGTCTTTTTGGGACATTTGAGAACAAATATAACACCTGTGTAAAGTGAGCCCTTTGAATGAATTTATGCTAATCTGTTGATGTTTAGAGTGATCGATCGCTATCTAGGCAAAAGTGTCTCGTTCAGCTTTTGCTTGTCACGACGCTTGCCTGAATAAAGGATCAGAAGTTTTCATTCATCAATTATTTTTTAATTTTAAAATCACGTGTGTACATCATTTGTAATAAAATACCTGATTGAATTTTGATTACTTTTACTTTTGCTGGTTTTGTGTTTGTTTTGTTCCCCTTTTGAGTTCTTCTGTAAGGTCATCTTGACAATATGAATTTGTGTATCGATCAAAGGCGTTGTAGTAGTTGTTGAGGACCACATATAAATCCGCTCGATACTAATATGCATATTGAAATAAAAGGATATATCAGCTCCCCCAGGATACATGCTTTGAAAAGCGATGCTTAGTATATATCCCGTGGGTAGTGGGGAGGGTTAAGAGAAAGTAAGGTCAATGTTTAGCAGGACGGCTGGTGTTGACTATACAGGATATTAAAAAGTACTCTCATTGGATAAAATTAGTCAGCAGTTCGCAGCCAACGACAGTTGCTATGTCCATCTAGCGTGATTATGCAAATACCTGCGTGACCTCGATCAACAACAGTTGATTGCGCTTCATATCCATATTGCTCTCGACAATTGTTGCAAGCTAAGAAAACTAAGATGACTTCTCGAGGAACAGTTGTACTGCATCAGTTTAAACGAGCCCTTCTTGGTACACCCAACGTGTCACCGCCATGCTTGAAGCTTGAAACTTACCTCCGCATGGCAAAAATTCCATACGAATTACAGTTACCGTTACAGTTTCAACGTGAGAGTGGGTTATTTTTGGGCCTATTTTTGTAAGTCGCTCCATAGGGAGCCCAAGCAGTGACTTTGAACCTATAATAGTTAAAAATAAAATGTTACTTAAAAAATGGTCTACTTTTATTTTATTCAGTGTCACAATGCATTATRAATGGGWTTWAAAAAATATCCCCTAYCTATATATATATAGTGGCAAGGGAGGAGACTCCGCTCGAAATTCTCCTAAAAATGAGCCAAAAACGATCGACAAAAATCCTTTTTTCGCACCGAAATTAAATCAAAACGATATTTTATCACAGCATATGTAAATCAACGTTTTTTACCTTTTGGACGAGAGGCATCGATAGAAACGCTTTTCCGGGCAAAAAAATCCAAAAAAGTGTCCCCAAAAATATCCCAAACCCATCCGTGTCGATGTTAGTAGTAGAGCTAAACTGTTTGGTTTTCTTTAATTTCTGCTTGGAGTATATAAAACAAAAGAGTTTGGCACCCCATTATTGTACACAGGGTCTAAAGTCAGTAAATTGTCATGTAGATGTAAATGAGTGTTCCATG